GACTTTGTCTTTTCCAGTGATTCACGCGCTCAAAGAATTAACAATAGCAACTCTAGATCCACTTGAAAGTGGTGGAATAATGAGCTCCCTTCAAAGATATTAACACACATATGACAAGCAGTAACTGATCGAGCGTCAGGGACTGAAAGAGCTGCCTGTCATCAATGAACTGCACGCTGCCTATCCGTTGGGCTGTTTTTTCAGACTTGGGCACCAACAAGCTTTTTAGCATTCCTCAAAATTCCCCTGTTATGTTCCATCCCGTATCCTTTACCATTAGGTACTAACACTGCTATAGTGGCTAGAGGCCAAGCCGTCAAAAGACCATAGCACTAGATGGTCTTCAGCCTCACTGATGACAGGCTGTGCCCAAGAGACTTTTGTAATGTTAAAAGATTCCTCAAAACTCCTTACACCATCATTTCATCTGAAAATGTGTCAGAGAAGTAGCTGGAAGTGTGCAGTCAAGCGCAGCAGCCCTATATTTAGAGGAAAAGTTTTTTTAACAATACAAGTCCACTGTGCTTAGGTAATGGTCACTAAGAAGTGAGAATGTGCTGCCAGTTTGGTAAGCCCCATCTTTCCGAGCAGTGAAATACATATTTCACAGCACGGACCCTCAACACACATCTCGTTATTATCAACTGAAATTAATTTTTATTTTTTCCAACCAGAAACACTGATTGCTCCTTTTGCTCCTCCAACTTGCTTCTGTACAAAACAACTTAAGTGTAAGCCAGCAACGAGATACTTATCGCCGAACACTACACACAAGAAAATGTGATTTTTTTTTTTTTTAACACGCTTATTTCCTGAAAGTACTGATTACCAAAAACGTAAAGTGCTAATCCTGGCACACAAGCAGCAGATTCTCTGAAAGAAGAGGGAGGCAATTTTCCCAAGTTATGAGAGAAGTGCACAGACATTTCATGCAGGACTTTAACCCCTTCTGCCTCCTTAAGTGTCCTCCAGTAAATCAAAGACGCTTGAAACACAGAGGGCCATGGTCTGAACAGGACAAAGCACCACCCATTTAACATCTCTGTTTCTGTTACTCTGTCATTTCAGGTTTATAAAAGAACCTCTCACCATTGCATCTGACAGCAGCTTCCTTGTTGGGAAGAACAAACTTAACTGCAAATGCAAAACACTGTGCAAGAGCAAAATAGCAAAGGATTATCCCTTCCTTTATTTCACATTCAGGAGAACATCCCTAAACAGAAGTCATTTCTCGGCTTGGAACATCTTGGGAAAAAATCCATTACACTTTTAACAGGCTATCGTACAAGCCATTCCCCTCTTGAGCATGCTGGGTAGCACATCCATAAAAAGCAGGCAGAAAGTGGGAGAAGTTATTCCATAGCGTACAAAACCACCTAACAACGGGTGAAAGACTTGCTGCTTTCATTACCAAAAGGATTCATTTTCCAAATGAAAGAGAGAGAATGAGATATTAGAAGTGAATGTCAGGGGAGAATGGAACAGGATCAAGTCTTTCTTGCAGGTTTGGCTTTCCCTCAATCTCTGAGCTGGGAAACACCGCAGGGATTAAAGCATCTGTACAGACTGTTGAAAAGCAAACACAACACGTCAAACTAGGAAAAGACCTAATGCTGTTATGCCACCTCATTCCTTCCACACTAGCGTTTACTCTGCAGAAGGATGATGCAGCTCCAATTTCCCCGGAAGACTGGAAATTGGACAGAGTATGTCTGCACAGAAAAGTGACTGTGTTAACTAACTCCTGTCCCTTACCTCTCATCCTTACAGGCGGCCATCGCTTCGGTTTCAGTGTTTTAAACTCAAAATAAATGGGTCAGCTTTGGATACAGACCAGAAATTAAAATGAAAATGGCCTCTGACAGGTAATTAAGCACTCTGCAGCAAGGATGCAAGCTAAAGTGCCAGGCAGCCTCCAGTACCCTCTCAGTTCCTCTAGTGAGCTGATGAGGACACTTAAAATGTATTGGTAAAGAGCTCATGGCTCTCCAGTTACTTCACAACAAGCCCTGGGGCACGTGCTTAAGAGTCCCAGCAATACAGGATGAACATAAAACCATCAAGCAAGAATGCAGCAGGTCTGTTGAAAAGTTGTACTGAGAAACCCACGTCTGAACCGAGGTGACAACCATTTGGCGCGTCCTGCACTACAAACACATCCTCGATGCGTCAGCGAAATACCAGATACACTCGCTTGTGATGGTACCTGTGGAGGAACTGGAAAGGAATAAATCTTACTATACCCTATCTACCAGGAGAGACTGCCTAGAAAGATGACGGAAAAAGTGATGGCAGAATTCCCATACGATTAAATTCCCAAAGACAAGAACCAACGGACACAACAGAAATTAACCTTCTGCAAAAAGCATAACTAAATTGGAAGTCAAAGCAATAATCATGCCTTCCATTCTTTCCAAGTAATTTTTATTTAACAACCACAGTACCTCCTTTCCAGAGACATCTCCTTCATAGAGTAATTCTTGTTGAGCTGAGATCAACAGCTAATATCCTTGCCACCAAAGCACACTGCTGTTTATTTTAAACAAATTTGCTCTTCTGAACAGGACAAAGTGTGCGTCTTAAGCTTAGACACTTATCTTGAGACACACAAATGTTCGTTTAACAACTACATCGAGTAATGGAGCAACGCTTAGTAGATACAATGAACAATGGAAGCACTGTAAGAAAAGAAGGAAGAATTTTTGCAGCTACTTCCTCTAAAATACTATTCTGATTTTGTAACATCACCTGAAAACTAGAAAACATCCATGACCATTGCCTGGGAAGCACTGAATCAACACCCAGCATCTTAATAACAGAAGGTTTACAGCACTCTTCAGCTAGCTGATCTAGAAAAAGGAACAGTCCTGCGCTGTTTGCAGCTGCTCTATGTAATTAAGCAAAATCTTTGAAGGATTCCGAAAACAGTCTATGCTACAGAAGACACACTTTTCATCAATGCAATGTCTACTGATCAGCTGAACACAGCCTGAAGTTCAGGTTTTAATTGTTGCTGTGCGCATGAGGATATAAAAAGGAACTATCCCTGCAGTCATCTATTTTAAAATAATCTCACAACTTGTATTTCAAACTAAAGAGCTACCATCGTTTAAAATACTATCACGCTACAGTCCAACTATTGTGATGGACATCAGCCTCTTACTTGCAGCAAGAGATAACGCATCCGCTTTGACCTCACTGGTTCCCAGTGTGTGTGTATACCTGTATAACAACTTCCTTCAAATCCAGAGCCCTACAAAATTGCCTGAGTATTTTTTCCTAACTCCAAAGGAGATCAAAGCCAATGCATTTTAACTCTTTCTTGTCACAGGCTAAGAACAAACTCAGTAGGGCTTATGATGCACAGGAACCTGTTAATCCTGACTGTGCAACAGCACTTGTGCTCTTTATGAAGTCCTCGAAAAGGAGCTATTTGTCACAAAATTATTTTAGAAATGAGAACGGTACGTTCAATCCTCCTCAAAAAGGACTGGTGCCACAAAGGCCTGGACCTTCATCAGGGGGATCCTCAGAGGTTTGATAGTTGATGAAACATTCTCTGTCCTATGCACAAAAGAATAAAGCATATTTACTAAAAGCAGCATAACACACAAAGCGGGCCTACGCACACTATGGGGAAGTGCTCCATAGAAATAGCGTTCACCTTTTCCAGCTTTGAGTCGAACACATTAAGTGTCCACATAAACAGGCTGTTTCCACTTTGCCATGTAGTTTCCCATGCTTTGGGGGGCACTGCACACTTATCTTCCTCTGTCAGCAAATCAATACCCATAAACTTAATGTATACTAGAATAAAAACCTAAGTTCCCCAGGTATCATCACTAATAAGTAACACCTTGTCCTGTGCACAACAGGCTTAAAAGCCATTTGAACATTCAAGTGGTTTTGGAAGTTGTGTTTTGTGTTTCAGTCCAACAGTACCAGTAATGAAGATCACAGTTTTCCAAATTAATTATTTCACTTAGTTACACGTTTACAACTTTTCCAGATACTTTTCATAGCTGATACCATTTGGATATTATACTCATATGAAGACACATTGTAGTCTACAAATATTTTTAGCCTGTCACTAATTCCGCAGCAGCTCACTGATGTTCCAGCAAAGCATAACTGTTAGACCATTCATAAGAAAGCTTCTAAGGTCATGACTGCTTACTTGAAGATGAACATAAATGATATCCTTTGTGTCCGTTACTTCCCAATTAACATGTGACACTTCAACGTGGAAAGTCTCACATAACATGTTCTTGATGACTAATTAGTTCACCTATACTAATTTCCTGATCACGTGCCTCTAATACAAAAGAGAATAACAGGCCAACACATCCAATTGCTATCTGCCTACAAAAGCTCTGAAACAAGAAAAACACATTTCAGTCAGGTGGTATACAACATGAATAATTTGAAAGCTGAATTATGACTGAACTCGGCTTTCCTGTATATCAGCTTCACAATGAAGAATGTATAGTTGACTACAGTAGCTGACCATAGTGCAACAGGAAGGAATTCCTCTATTTTCTTATCTATATATCAGGGATTTCGACACCACAATAAGACACTAAATGGGAAAGCGAGTACCAAGCGTGACCCTCCCTCATCCTTCTTTTCAACTCACTGCTCCCCTAACGCTTTCTTATTCTCCCACAGTCCTTCCCTTCTGGCCTACACCCCACCATCGTCTTCCTCATTTTGATTCCTGCTTCCACCTTCCCCAAAACAACATCCCCTTTTCCAGGGTGGCCAAGGCACCCGGCTGCTTCTGGGCCTGGCGCAGCCTCCCCTGAGGGGAGCGGGGTGGAGGCGGGCTCCCCCCCTTCCCCGACCCCCCGGAGGTGCAGGACCTGACTGGGAAACGGGTGACAGCCAGCACGGAGGGATGCGGGGAGCCAGCCCAGGCCGGAGCGAAGGGGAACGGGCCAGGCCGGGGCCCGCCGAGGGGAGCCGGCAGCCCCTCCGCGGCGGGGGCCGGGTCCGCTCACCTCGTCCTCCTTATGGTTGCGGATTCCGCGCACCAGGTCCTGCAGGTTCTTGTCAAACATGCGGTCGATGCTGCCCTTCACCATCTTCAGCGCCATGGCGGCGGCGGGGCCGGGCCCCGGGGGCCGCGCCCCGGGGTGCGGGGGCCGGGCCCGCCCGGGC